GGCTGAGACCTCGGCCCATTCCCATCAGACTAGAAGGGAGAAGTCTCAGCAGAACAAGCAGATGCTCCTGCCGCACCACCAGACAGTCTGCCTCCCTGGTGCTGGCTAAATCTGCAGCTCCAGTCAAGACTATAGGGAGCTCCAGCCTCATCTCCATCATGCTCCAGGGGACCGGGTATCATTGTCCAACCACGTTATCAGGGTAAGAACCATCCCTGAAGTCACAGGAAGATGAATGGCAGGCCAGGGTAAGCACATGGGCCAGTTGCATCTCACACCAGACCATTACCCTCCCAACACCAAAGCTGGAAATGCCAGAAGTATTCTCATGAAAAAGGCTGCATTTCCTCAGGGCTCCTAAAGAGCCCAGACTTTCCTCCATCTGTCATTAATCAACCAAAGCAGACTGTCCAAGAGACATCGCAGAGGCAAACAGCAGGCACTGACCTCTGACTATATCCTTAGATTGGCTCTGCCTGGCCACAACGTCAGATAAACAGAGGACAGGGGGTCCAGCTGGGAGGACAAGCTGACATCCAGATGCCACAGCTTGAGGAATCCATCCCCAGCGATGCCTCTGTGCCAACTGCTGCCAGCCCACCTGTCCTGACAGAGGGCACCGGGGCCAGGCCAGAGGATGCAGCAGATGGCAGTAGAGGGCAAAGGGGATGCAAGGGGCTCTGCTGAATCTGAGGGTAGGGTGGGAGGGAGGACAGGGGCATCTGTCCGTCCTGAGGCTCTGTGGCCTCCAAATGCACATGCAGCCACCTGCAGCCAGAACTGCACCCAGCTGCACTGAAGGAGACCACCGTGCACTAATCTCCAGCACAGGATTCTGGCTGTCCTTATCAAACACATGTGTCTGAGGCTTTACAGTCAGTGACATAAAATCCAAGGCAGCTGGCATAGGGGATGCAGGGAAGGATCCAGAGGAAAGGCTTCTCCTGATATGTTGATAAAAAACCTTGCCACCAGAGAAGAGTATAGACAGCTCTAAAGAAATAGGGGTGCATGGAGAAGGGAGGGGGACAAGATGCTTAATAGACTGAACATGGGAGGAATGACTCCAGCAAATCATTCAGCAATTTTTAGATGCACAAAGAAGAGAAATTCCAAGCTGAGGGAGCACTTGATAACAATTCCACATCAGCTTCATTCCTGGATTGGGCTCCTCGGAGACCAGACAACACAGTTTATATCATTTGTCTGTTCCCCTTTGGAAGCACATTTGAATATAAATCAGGTGGCAATGTGATAGTATGTTTATTACTTCAATTACAGGCCTGAAGGTACTGGGCAATTCAGTTCCAAAGACAGAATATGTGAGATTCTCCTCAGAGCAAGGCTACTCAGGAAACCTTAACAAATTCTCAGAGTTCTGAGGGACTGGTTATCACTTTTATTACTGGCTGAGCAAGACAAGTCCTAAACTAACTTGTCAGAAAACAAGAATGAGAAACACCCAAATTAGACTGTGCTTTGTGGAGAAAAAATAAACAGCACCACTGCATGCTGGCAAATACAATGCTTTTGGACCACTAGAAGCCACTTATTTAGGTCTTTTTCTTCCAGGGACCTTCTGCTAAAAAGCAACCAAATTGATTTGCTCTAACAGTGCTTGGTTGACTTTTGAACACAGGAAGCCCTGACCACAGGCCTAGCAGAGGAAGATGGAGTTTCTGAGGCCAGCTCAGTGGAGAAGCCAGAAGATGGATGATCATTCAAAAACATCTCATTCTTGATGGTCCTCACAGAGACTCCTAAACCAGAATTATTATCCCAAATGCAGCCATCTGGGGAGGGAATAAAGATAGACCAGAGAGCTCCATTTCTAAGAGGATTTTCATTAATTTCATCAAGACAAAGTTAATAATCCACGACATCAATTTTTTTTTCTTGAGTTGGTTGTTCTAAGCATGTTTGAATCTTCTCCATAAATCTCACAGCTAGAGGCTAGTAGAAATTAGTTTGCCTTCTATGCTGTCGTTAGGAAAGAAAGAAGTGGTAATAGTTTCCAAGGAAACTTGAAGGGAATGGCTTGTAAATGAGATGAATCTACAGGCTGCCCAAGTGGTTGTTGGACAGGAGTAAATAAATCCACATTTCCTTCCCATCATAGCCCCTCACAAGGAAGCAGAGGCAAAAAATGGAGATGGAGATTTCTTTAATGAAGTGTTTTACTTTATATAGATAAAGAGGTTTCTAGAGAAGATTTAACTTGTGTTGAGACCTTCATTTTCAACAGATTCACCCTGTAAGGCCTTCTTGGGGATCCTCCATGATTAGGGTCTTGTGAGAGGAGCAAAATGGATGTGAAAGATATGACAGTCCCCTCCCAAGCCAGGCATCTGTGACAGCACCTGCCTGAGTGGCATGGACAGGAAGAGGGGGAAAAAGCCTGGGCCGAGAGCTGGAGAGGGGGGAAAGAGTCATCTACCCATGGTGCTTTTAACAAGTAGGCTCAGAAAGACAGACATAGCACTCTGTGTGTGTGTGTGCGTGTGTGTGAACGCACCTGGCTACCTCCTCAGTAATGACGATACCATTAACAGCTCACCCCCATTCTGAACGGTTTCCATGTTTTCTCTCATTGAGTTCTCATGTTGGCTTTAGGGCATAGGTAATATTCTAATTCCCAACTGACAGATCAGGAAATTGAGGCACAGAATGACAAATAAAATAATTAAGTAGCTAGGAAGTAGTCACTGGAATTTGCACCCAGGGAGTCTGGTTCCTGTCCTGCTGGTTCTGTTGGGCCTGCTGTAAGATCTCTGTGGTGGCGCACATGGATCCTGCTCCTTCTAGAAGGCCTGGGTCTCGGCAGGAGCAGAGAGGAGGGTATCTTGGGCTTCCTGGGTCAAATAACTCATTTGCTTCATTGAAGGATGGCTAGCTCCACATCTCACTGTTGTGCCTCTGTTTACTAGGTCCATGGCATCTTAGGGTGGCCGCAGCTGCACTCCAGCCCCTCAGTCTCCCTGGCTCTCTCATCATCTGCCAGTGGACAGGTCCTTGGCACCTAATATGTCTGATATGCAGATAAGGCACCTAACTCTTTGCACACTTTGGTCCACAGCAAAAGGAATAAGCGCAGACTTTGAAAAGTACTGTCATTCTCTCCCCTGCCCCAGCCTGTGTGGCCCACGCTCAGGCAATGAAAAGTGGCCCCTCCTTTGTTGTCCCAGTGGGCTGAGTACAGTTTGATCTAGCAGGAAATGGAGAAGGACAGAGGCAGATGAGGCAGAGCTTAGGGTGATGCTCCAGGGAATGAGGGCCTCACAGGGCCTGGCCTGACACAGAGCAGAGGGGATTAACTGCTCCTCCTGCGCTTCAGGCAGTGGGGTCACTGCCTGTCCCCTGTCTGCCTCCATCTCTGTCCACATGGAGTGCAGGAGTGACACACAGAGGCCCAGAAAGAAGCACTTATATGGCCTTTGCCACCTCTTCCAGACTCCAGGAAGATCAGGCAGCAGCATCCAAAAAGGTATAATTACACCAAGGACCTTTCTGACCCAGAAGCCCAGCGCTGCCAAGTTCATGGGCCCTGCAGAGGCACTGGTCCACTCTCTTGAGCAGCCCCTTACCACCTCGAAAAGACCCCACACATTCCACCAGCCCATCCATCCAACAGGCTCCCTGAGCAGTGGGAACTGATGTCTGCAGTTTTCCATCCCCTGAGAATATAAAATGGTACCCCGGTTCATGAACTTAATTCGTTCCATGATTCTGACGAAGATGGCCATGGTCATGTTTGTCACCCAATGTAGAGTTTGTGAACAGAAGCAACATTTTGCAAAATGCTTCTTTTTCCAAACCGAATTGTTTTTGACTAAAAGCATTCGTGAACCGAGATAATACTGTATTTCTCTTGTTTATCATCTGTTAAGACATGTTTTCTTTTTCCTCCCCCAATATAAGATTATAGAGTAAATTCAATGCTTTGGCAAATTACATATGTCTACAGTGCACTCAAGAGCCCAGTAACACCCTACCCCAAGATGTATGGCCCTGATATCATGATACCACAAGGTCCTGGGTTGGGGCAGACACTCAGGCTACAGCCACAGCCATCTCTGACCAGAAGCCTTGGTTTCCACTCCTCAGAGCTGTCTGGGTGAAGAAGGCAGGACTGATTTCAAATGCTAAATAGCAAGCAGGTTACAAATACAAACTTCTAGGCCAACTTCCATAAACCCAACTGGTAGAACTGGCCCCTCTGTCATGTGGCTCCCAGCAAACATTAATAATTGTTTTCTTGTGAGTGACATTCCTAATGGGAAAGAGGATTCAGGATGAATGGTGGGCAGTCTCCTTCCTTGTTGCTCCCCAACCTCCAGACAGAAAATCACTTATTCCAACCAGCATGAGTGTCCCCGTCCTATTCCACGGCCATAGGAGAAGTCAATGCCTGTTGCTCACACACTAGACTGCAGTTAAAGGGTTGACCATAGCCACTTGGTACCTCTTGCCTTGAAAGGAATGGAGCAGGGGAACATGTCCTAGCCCTGTGCTCTAGCCTCTCTCTGCTCAGTTGGGAACCCAGCAGCAGCCTGGTTGACTTTAGCCTCAGCACTCAGCAGATGGGCTGGGTCAATTCCAAGTCTGTAGGTGCCATGTTTCCATTATTGACTTCTAACAAGGAAGAGAGAGCCTGAAGAAAGTCCCTGCCCCCACCCAGCCAGATGAGCCCATCCACACAGAGCAGTTATTGAGGCCTAAGAGACAGCAACCTCTTTTCCCCTAAGCATGTAACTTGTAAATACCAGAGGCACCCAGAGAGCTAACATGCCCCGCATGCTGACAATGGGAATAATTGCCTGCTAATGACACACAGAGAAACTGCCCAGTCCACTGGCTTCAGTTTCAGCAAGTGACAGAGTTTGAGTAATTAAAGTCGGTGGGCAACAGCACTCAGCTGGCACCCAGGAGGCCTGGGCGTGTCTCCCACATCAGGCCAAGGGTGTGACAAGTGCCAAGCATGGAGGAGAGACTGTACTGACCTGCAGCATCTGGAGGTAGCCTTCCTGGGGGTCACAGAGCAGGGAAGAGATGCGGTGGTTGTTCCTCATGCACTTCTGGTTGTCCTTTGCAGACGGGAAGATCTGTCGGACCACGGTCATCCTGCCAAGGGCACTGTGGACCAGATCCAGGATCTCAGGGTCACTGATTTCCTGGAGAAATAACCAGACCCATGCTTACCATCAACTCATGAACTGTCTTTGCAAAAAGCCCACCCAGAGTATCTAGGACAACAGCCCACAGAGGCAGTGCCAAACAGATCCAAGGACTGGGCCCCAGTCACACACTTCGTTGATACCACTCGTATCCCATAGGTGCAAAAAGGATCCTTCACCCTTTTCCCTGAAGGCCAGAAAAGGATGTCTAAGGCTAAAGCACTCTGCATTGGTCTCTGCAGGGTCAAGCTTTGAGAAGTCAACACTGTCATCACAGGAAGTATCAGCCAGATGCAAAGGTTGAATTTCCAGTTGGGACTCATCTACCTGATTTAGGCAGGGAACGCTGAGCTTCTGTGACACAGCTAATCAAAATACAATGAGCTTCCTAGAATTCTTTAATCAGATTGGTTTTACGAAAACAGCTTCATACAAAGTTTGCAAAACTATGCATTCATTCATTCATTCATTCATTCTCAAAATCTACCCAGCATCTACTCTGCATTTTGCTCTGTACTAAGCAACAGGACACACCCATGCCAAAATCAGACATAATCCCATCCTGTGAATCTCTCTCTTATCAACATGGGATGAAATACACCGAGTGTCTCAGGGGCTGAGGACCCCCACTGTTCTTTCCATGTCAGACCTGTCCTGCACCAGGCTCTTCACATGCGTCAGTAGCTCATCTAGTGCTCCAAAGACCCTAGGAATTCTACAAGGTAGATCCAGTCATTATCCCATTTCGCCCTCAAGCATAGGAATCGAAAAGGGAGCTGGAGGCAGGGAGTTCTGTCCAGGAGGAGGCCTGAACTGAATGTACGAATAAACCTGTTAGGCAAAGTGCTTGAGAGGTGGGGGAGTGTCATGCACCTGAGAAGCTGGGGTACAACCAAGCATGGGGGAGCTGCCCAACTTTGTTCTTTGTAGCACTAGTGCAGTGTATGGAAGGCCATGATTTTCACCCAGCTGGGGAGGCCAGGGCCAGGGGCTTCTGCAGGGTGAACTTCTGAGGGCCCAGAAGGTGAGTGGCCAGAAGCAAGATGAGGCCTGTGCTCAGGGCCAGACAAGGGCTCTGGAGTTGGTGCATCTTATAAATCACCTGCACCGAGGGCACTGCTGAGCCCCTGAAAGAGTCTAGGCACAAGTAAGCTATAATCAGATTGACATTTTTGAAGATCTTTGGCTGCTGTGTGGAGAAAGGATTAGAGATGAGCAAGCAGGAAGAGGAGAGGGCAGGAAGGACAGCACCAAGCTGCACAGCTGGGTCCCGCACAGGGCCACAGAGGATGGAGCCAGATGTGGACCAAGCATCCCAGCAGTGGGAAAAATGAACATTCAGGACAAAAGAAGCTCTGGTTCACTGCTTGTAAGAAAGGACCAAATTGGCAGTTGGTTGCAAGTTGATTGTAACCATAAATACATTTCAAACTCAGCTTTAACTCTTCCTCCTTGCAGATAACCCATTTGAGGCACTGAGATGTCCTAAGTGGAACTCATGTGGCTAGAAATTAGTGATCAGGGCTACAAAATCATTTAAACAGAAGCATAACATTTTTAAGGGCAAGCTGGTAAACCATGTATTTAGGATCTGTCTGGAAGCCACTGTGTGAGTGAAGCCCGGTCAGTTGAAACCACATGCTGAGCAGAAAGATAATAAAACATTAAGAGTTGTGTCCTTTTAGTATGATCAATAGTTACCGAGTACAATGAGCGGCAGGGATCTTGGAAAAACGAACATGCACTTTCATATTGGACTGGGGCTTAAAACACCAAAGTTTGTGTTCAGACAAAAGTGTCTTTGGGAGAAGATGATCTTGCTGGATTGGGACCAGCAGACTATCAAAAGTAAGGAAACCGGTCCATGGGACAGGTCTGGAACACAATGGGCTTCAGGGAGCATCAGAGTACACTATGTGTGCCCAGCTCTGCTCTCACTGCCCTGGGGAGTGAGTCCCAGCCTGAGCATGAGATCCAGATGAGTCAAACCACATCCTCATCTCAGCGAAGAAGGGGAAGAAGGAATATTAAATGCAGCAACAAGTAGACTAGGTATCTTTACCCTAGAGAAGGAATATAGAGGATGGGAGGAGGGAATTCTTTATCTGCAAGAAGGACAAGACTGTGAAACGTAATCTGAATGATGAATACTGGGGAGAATCAGGACCTGCACACTTCTGAGAGGAAACATATGTCTCATAGCTTTTTTTTTTCCCCATTAACTTTATTGGTACATTTTAGGTATACAATACAAATGTCTCATAGCTTTTGATTTGCCACATTCTCTTGAGGGCAGAAGCCATCCATCATAGGGGCAGTAACTAGAAGCCCTCTTATTAAATATCCTCTGTTCTCTCACTTTTTTGGAGAGGATCCAGCAGCACTGAGCTCTCCCCAGCACACCCCAAGTGGAACCCTGGAAACCTGTAGGGAGCTGACTTACCAGGTGGTGCCAGACCTTTCTGTAAGAGCAATCATCACTTTCCCTGGCAGCCACAGCAGCACCTGGCATGGGTGCCTAAGGAAGCCAGGTACAGCTGTGATGGAATGGGGGGGGGGCCCAGCCTCTGCCCCCAGCTCCCCTGATCGGCAGTCTGTCCTTCTTGCAACCTGCCTGCCAAGCACTCCTTGAGGACTTGGCACAGCTCTCTGCCAACCCATTAAGTGCCATATGCCTTCCTCACCGTGAATATCTGCTAGAACCCTGCAGACCTCCCTGTCTGCCCTGGACTGGTCCTTACCCACTGGCTCAGGTCATAGCACGGTCACTGAACACCAGTTACCCCTACCCCGCTCCTTGCTCTCCGGGGACTATACTTCCTGTCCAGGCCAGAGATACCTGAATTAGAATGTGGGAATCCACAAAAGCAACATCCCCAATTCTTTAGAGGTGATGAAAAGGGTCACTTCTTTTTCTCACTCCAAGTCTGAACCTATGTGATAGGTCAGTTTTAGCCACTCCAAGTCGGGTCCTGCTCCTGTCCTACTGTCCTCCTGTTAGCTCTGCTGGTTCCCTTAAGTAGCAAGAGGTGGGAAGAAGGACGCGCTCACCCCCTGCCCTGCTTCCTGCATGTTCCTCTGCATCGTGATAGGAGAGCCCAACCTCTGGACCCTCTAATGGTGCACAGGCAATCCAAGCAGTCAACTTCAACAAGCTATTTGGAGAACAAACTCTCCCTTTGTCCCAACAGAATGAACATTTCCAGGTAGTGCTGTTAATGAGCACAAGAAGCAAGACAATGTGTAAACACTGCTATTGGAAATCAGTGAGCTAGCAGTGGAAACATCGCACACACATGTGATGGAGCACACAGCCTCAAAATAAAGCTTTCTTCTTTTATTAATTCCTAAATTTATATGGTGAAACACATTTCATGCACATAAATATTACATGTATTAAATATGAATGATCTCCAAGCTAAGGAATAAATGAATGCCCATACCTTGGTTGGATGCCTGCGCCCAAAGGCTTCTCCATCCCCCTCCTCCTCCTCTTTCCACAGCAGGCTATATCATGATTTGCATATGTAATCTACATGATGTACTGCCTAACCTTGCATGCTTTCTTTAGCTGTGTGTAAGTGGAACAGTATACAGGCCTTCTGCAACTGTGTTTAAACACAGTGGTTCTCAAATTCTATCATGCCCAGAGTCAGAATTTGATAAAATTATAGAGAATCAGCCCTGTCTCACATCAACAAGCAAAATCTCTGTGTTCTCCATGGATTCCTTAGATAATTCCGAATTATTTGCTAATGTTTAAAAATGATGGCTCCAGCATAAAGTTCTAGTGATGGTGACAGAAGCAGCTCTAAGTTAATTATTTTCAGGTGTGAACACTATCACACTGTTGACCTAACTTCATTTATTCACCCTATTGTTGATTACCATTTGGATGTTTTGGTTTCTTTACTCCTACCAACAAAGCTGCTGTGTACATTTGTTTTCTTGTGTATATGTCTTGATGCACTTGTATAATTTCTTGAGGGTATTGTTATGCTTTGGATCTGAAGTGTCCTTTCAAAGTCTCATGTGTATGGAAGGTGATTGGATTATGAGGGTGCTACTGTACTCATTGGTGGACTGATCTACTGATGAGTCATTGGCTGATATGCTGTTAAGAGTTGCGGACTGGCTGGATAAGGTGGGTCGCCAGGGCTTGGCCTGAAAGTGTGTATCTCCCAACCCAGCTCCTCCCTTTGCTCTCTGCTTCCTGGCCCTCAGAACCTGAGCAGCTCTCCTCCATCCAGGCCCTTCCTCCATGCTGCCTCTGTCCTAGAGCTGGCCAACCCTGAACTGAAACTTCTGAAACTCCAAGCCAAAATAAACCTATCCTCCTTTAAGTTGTGGACCTCAGGTATGTTGTCCTAGCAACAACAAATAGACTAAGACAGGTATATATCTAGAATTAGAATTCCTTGGTAAGAGAATGGGAACAGGTTCAAATGCACTAGGTAACACCACAATTTCCAAAGGGGCTGTTGCAATTTATAACCGTATAGGATAAAGTTAGTGTTCACATCTTTGTCTGCATCTAATACTGCATGATGTCTTAACATTAGCCAGTCTGTATGAGCTGAAATAGTGTTAGATTTCAGTTTTCACTTCCTTAATCTTTCATTGAGTTGAATATCTTTCATGCATACCTTATATCACTACATAGATATCCTCTTTATTCTGATAACGTTTTGCGACTTATAGTCCAGTCTGTCTGATATTTACATAACTATACCAGTTTCATTTTGGTTAGTATCTGCCTGCTCTAACTTTTTCCACCTCTTTGCTGCTCTAATTTTTTCCACCTCTTGGCCGTCAATCTTTCTCACATTTTAGTTGAGATTCCTAAAAACAAGATACACTAGAAATTTTCATATCCACATTTGAGTTCTTAGTAAAAATTGTAATCCATTTATATTCATTATGATTACTTACATATTTGAATTTATTTTGCACAATTACTTATATGTTTTGCTTTTTCTTTTTTATCTTTCTTTTAC